AGTCTCAGGCTAGTTTCTCAAACAACAAAAGAACTTCAAGGCAGTTTCATTAACTTCAGGAAAAAATTGGAAACTTTCAAGTAGTTCTGAAAACCTCAAAATAGTCCATTCCATATTCTACGGAGATTTCATTTGAATTATTCCTCAAAATTTTGGTGAAGCTATCCTACGAATTCGATTTTCTTTTAGTGTTCCTTGGAATTCTCCACAATAAGAAACTCTTTCGAAAGATTCTCCGAATATTCATTGAATTCATTTCAGATTTCCTTTTCAATCTCACTACTTCCCTTGGAATTCTACTCACATTGAAAGTCTCCTAAGAATTAATTGGCATTTCTCCTCACAAACTACTTCTATTTCTTCTCATAATTTGTTTGGCAAACTCTCCTGAATTCATTTTCCGAATTCCTGTGAAGGTGTCCTGGAGTTATTCTCAGATTTAATTGTAATCCTCCTTTAGCATTTTCAAAAAAAAAATCCAGGGATTTATGCTCCGGATTCGTTTTTTCCCACAAACTTTATGAAATTATGCTCAGAATTCCCTTGGAATTTTCCTCTGAAGCTCTTCAGAAATTCTTAAGAGTTCACTTTTTAGTCACTATTTTTACAACTAAAAGCCACTATTTGGTCACTTATTTCATCAAAATGGTCACTAAATTCACTATTTTTAACAGCAGTGATTGCTACCAGCCCTGGTGTGACGTTGAAAATTGTTCTCGAGTAACAACGAAAGGCTGTCTGCAAGCAGCGAGCTGCAGAGCCCACATAAGCAACCATCAAAGGAGGAAGAAGCTGCACCGCTATGCTATGGATCGGAATCAGTAGCTCTTCTTGAGTCGCTGCGGGTCGGTCATCTATGCCAAGCGTGTCACCCTCGCTCCAAACGACATACAGCTCGGCAGCCTCAACCGTGTTGAACACCCAGCTCAGAATTACTCAACCATCACTACAAAACGGTCCTTTTCAGGGCCACCAAAAATTTGTTAAAGAGTATTATTTGGACATTGGTCAAGGTCATCAGTTCCCGCAAGCAGCTAGCTATCAAGGCTAGCTGTCTATAGAAGGTGTGGAATTATAGGCCTGAATATATTGGTGCAATTAGTTTTTCCTCGGCTTTCATTCCGCATGATTCGTTTCATTCGTTTAATCAATCACCCTTGTAGTGACGTCGAAAAGATTGTTTCAATCGACGCTTACATATGAATTTTAATGTGGATTATAGAATTTTAAAACACCTTTTTAAAGTCGGGTAGATGAATCGAAAATACTCAAGTTGACAGTCCCTTGGATTCTCTTCATCAACTTTCTCTTTGAAATAAATACTACAAATTTGATACGCTTACAAATAAAAAACGGAAAAAGTTAAGATAATTGATGATTGATCAATTAAAAGAACTAAATGTTCACATTTGTTCCGTCCACTAGCGGTCCTACGTCAAGCTTCCGTTCGTGCCCCTAGACACAGACCCTTCTAGTTTTCGACACGATTGCAGTGCATCCACTTTGATGTGATATCCAAATTAGTTTCCAAATTAAGGAAAAAGATACCAACAAAGGTCTCTGTAAGTACATCGACCAGACTTGTGTTTTCCTAATAGTAACATTAATTTGATATAATAGCTTTAAGACATTAATTCTTGTTAACACAAAATAACGCCGCCTGTCTGTCTTTGTTGTTTATTTCGGCGTTTTACCTGTTACCAAACTAAAATGTGTTTTACAACATACTATAACAAAGAACTATACAACATGTATGGTTTTCAAGAGTTGATTTTTCAATAATCCAAAAGGTCTTCCCGTCGTCCCCCAGCGCTTCCAGCTAAAAGGTACCGCGTGTGATTCACATGCCTATGTTCTCTTCATGTTCGCTATTTCATAAACGAACTTTAACGTCCTCTATTTAAAAAAAAATACACAAAAACTCTGGTTCCTAGCTATTTTCATTAGAATCAGAGAAGATAGCAACGACGACATGTGTTCCTATGCGATTCAAGCCATACCACTTAATTTAAAACAACGGAACATTCAAACCAAGTCTCTTCCTTCCGTTCAAATTTCTTTTTGTAGGTACAAGAAAATCTCAAAAACAACGTGTGTAATGAAACCTTACAGCAAGACAATTTCCTTCGTATCCACTGAGGAGCACCGGAAAATTAACTGGTCATGAGCACAAACCAAAGGTATAATGCGGAAAAGTAAGGGTATGAAGCTATTGTACTGTATGAAGCTATTATACTGTAGAAAAATGAAAGTAGGTAAACTTATTAACGACTCCAGTGAGAACATGCAAATAACAACTTTTTAGCAACGAGAATGAGAACGATAATTATGGTACTAAACTAGACCATAGAAAAGTAATAGCGAATTCGTTTATTATTCAGTGCCAACCTGGATCGGGTATCAAAATTGGGTTTGTTTGATTTCTGACAAACGTCAGTTTGATCGTTTGTTTTAAAAAGTATAACGTTCTGTGTCAAGGGGCACGAACGGAAGCTTGACGTACACGCTAAGATCAGTTTACCTAGACGGTACAAAGAGATTACCGCTAGTGGACGGAACAAATATGTTGATCATTTAGTTTTTGAATTGGTGGCCACACCAGTGCACGTCGATGCCGACCGGATGCCTATTGCGGGAAGCCTTTCATCCGGTCGATGGGGGTGCTTTCGTCGTCGTCTCAGTGATGTCACTTATGCAGATTTATCTGTAATGATACAGATTTTTCTCAAAATTTTGATACTGATATCTGTATATACAGATTACAGATTTTTTTTAAATATACAGATTTTTCAGATTTTTCAAATAAGTGGAATATATGTTTAACTCTGGAATATATTATTATTAATATCCATAATTAATCCTTTCTTCCTTTTGAGTAGGTACGAGCACCTACCATATACCATTTTTTATTTTTTATTGTATTATCTTCGTTAATTTTACTTGGATGTTCTGATTTCTGATTGCTCGTTAGAAGGGGTGTGAGTTTTTCATCCTTATTGTTTAATTACCTAGATCACATGGTGACAGGTACTATGATTTTTTGTTTTGATTTTTCGAATCGGTAAACAAGCCCTTTTAACAACCCAGAAGCTGATTGATTACGAAGAAAGTGTTTTTATTATCGCTGCTTTTCTCCTCCCTTCCTTTTATTGGTGAAATGGTGCGCGATCAACCGAGCATTGAGCTAGCTCATGTGAGCATGCGCAACGTGTCGTTTGTTCGATTTGTGCTTTATTGTTGCGTCCGTGTTTGGGATTTTTCGTTACATGTCTGAATTCTCGCGTCACTTTTCAAATAGACCAATGTAACATATCCACCATTTTGAGAAAATCGAAGTTGAAGTTCGATAGATTATTATTTTAACTGTTTAAAAACAATACATTTTGCAATACTATTTTTAATGTAGTCAGTGTATAATAACGTTGAAAATTCAGAAGAAACGGTAAAATCACAATTTTACTTTAAATTTCATGCTACAACATAGAAAAAACCACATAGGACGTTTTGACAAGTCGAGTTGTACATCGGACATGTTACATTGGACGATTTTTCTCAATGACATAATCAATGAGTGTTACATTGGACGTTTTGTCTACATGATACTAGATTCCCTTTCACAGATTTCAGAGTATAGTACCTAACTTTAGATTGGCCCCGCCTTTGGAAAATGAGCACCAATCATGTTAGGCAGTCCGAATGACCGAAGTAACAATCATATACTCATCATTTCAAACTGTACATTGGACAATTTTTGATCGATGATTTTCTTAAATAAATGAAAGTAAATTTGGATGGGTGTTTTTGTATCACATACAATGATAGAAGAGCAATAGCTTGTATCGCTTAACTCGATTTGTTTACATTTGTTACATTGGTCTATTTGAAAAGTGACGCGAGAATTTTGATTTTTTTAATGTGACCCCCAGTATAGAAATTAAAGACGTCCTACGTCAAAACCTACCTTACGTATTGTAAATTAAACTTAGTGTACTTTCAGTTTACATTATCAAAGTTTATTTTAAGGGGCGGATCTCTCAAAGGGAGGGGTCATAGTAAAAATAATCCCAAGAAGTGGCATATTGTGATGTTAGAGATGTTTATATCACGAGATCCCAACCATATAGGATGTTGCCTCCTTCTACAAAGATATTCAAGAATACAAGGTCTTCAGAACTATGACTAGTTTATATACCTACTAGATGGCACTAAAACGAAAATGATCAAGTTGCGCCATCTTATATACACGTTATATAACGCTATCTACAGATCCTGCTCATATAGGGTTAACTACCCCATTTCCGGCCTATTAAGCACAACCCGCACTTAGTATTTCTTAATCTAGCCTAGCTTAGCACCAAACGGAATGTTATTATTACTGATGGCTTCCAAATTTATTTACCTTTCCGTACGTACCGTAAGATTTGATAAAGAAAAACCAATCGTTAATATATTGTCAAAAGTCTAACACTACTTCTTGACGCCAAACTCAGCCTACGGATTCTGAACTCAGCCTAACGCATTGATACGCCAATGAATTCACTTCGGCCTATCAGATGAATTGACTTCGTTGGGTAGCTTATTAACTAAAGTATCGTACCAAACGCATCATTGACTTGTTATCTCTGAAATCATGGATTTATTTGAAGTTTTCGGCTCCATAGTCCCAAAATGGCCAATTAGGCCGAAGTAGTTCTCTACCCTAGATAGTTTCCATCTTCAGCAAAGTTTTTCAGATGGACAAGACTTATCCCAAAGTAAAAAGTTTAGTTTAGAATTGCCAGACCAGATATAAGGTTTCCGTCTTGGGTAAAGTTGTTCAGTGTCTATTAGAGGGAACTAAGTTTTTCTTACATCACAATTATGGACACTCGGTGATCGGATGCGGACATATGAAAATTCAGCGAGTAACCAGCTCACAATTTACCATGACAGCACTGATGCTTGGGTTTCTATAAACTATGCTCGTATTTTGCTCACCTCCATATACATTGAATACCAACCTGTCGCATAGCTGTCAAAAATCCTTGCGGATTGAAGAATCCCGTCATCCAGAATACCTGAAATTAGAGGGGAAAAATACGATTGTTTAAATCCATCCAGAGTATTATTCAGCACAAAGGCCAACCTTTGGGCGATCACTGCTAATCCATGCACGGAATTGTTGATTCCTTTCCAGCAGTTCAGTGTACCAGAATCCAAGCGTCGTAGATTCCCACGATATCTAGACAGCGCGGAATCAGACCAAATTATATATGCAATTAAATTCTCTTCAGTTCTCTCATGTTCGTTCCACTGACTGATGCATCTCTCTCGGTAAGCAACAATCAGTGCATTCGAAAGTGAATAAACTAGCTATTTATGCAAAGTGGATAACAGATAAAAAAAAAGAAACAGGTTGTCGCTATTTTAACACGGCTATGGAAGCAAGGAAAAATAAATCGTACAATGAATAATGCATCGGACATGAAGTAAAATAGAGCTGAAAGAATTCCATTATCACAACAAATCGACTCCTTCGCTGGCATAAGAATAACAAACAGTCTGTTGAATAATTATAAAATTTTCCCTCGATGGTATCCTCACTAAAACACAAGCAGGTATCTCACCTCATTATCACCAATTATATAAAAATCCAACCAGGATAGCTCTCGCAATACAAGCACACGGTAGCACAAGCTCAAAACAATCAAAGCTTTCACTCTTGCCTGGGTGAAATTTTTTACCTTCTGCCACTTTTCCGGTATCCGAGCGTCGTACATGGCGTCCAGCGATTGCCGCAGGTAATTGCTCATTACGATCGTTCCATCGATGGCCAGCTTCAGGTCGCACAGGTTTGTGTAAACAGTATGGATTACCCGCTGTACTCGGTCGATTTCCTGTCTGTAATTAGAAGCGAAAATTTTATGACGCACCAAACCACCAAACGACGGGGCAAACTTTCAAACACAGTCCTAGGTACATATATAAATAGGTCATGGGCCTGACCACTTGCGATGAAACAATTAACCGCCGAACGTAATGGGGTCGGAAAAACGTATACCCCCTAATTGGAGTAATTGTAATCGGATGCATTTCTGCTCATGTTTGCCGATGACCTACATGCAATCAATACACATGGATTCGGGATCAAAGGTGGTCTTTGATTAGAAACAGAAATGAATCCTGATTGACAAGGCGTGTTACAATTTTGCTTGGTAAGTTATTAAAGCATTTCTCACCACACACTACTGAGGATTAAAGGTGGACGATAGGCGACCAAATCCATATTCCCATATAAGTTCAGTAGCAAATGTGATTTAAAATAACGCTTAGTGTATAGTAAGTGATTGGTAATTTCCAGTATCATTACATCAGTCCTTAATCCCAATGATTTATTAGATTAAAATTCGAGCTGGATGACCATTCCATAAAAAAAAGATATGAATAATAAAGTTTAAGTGTCCGGTTTTAACTTCCTCTACTGCTGATATACTTTGAGCATCCTCGATAGTCAATCAAAAATTATTGCCAGTCTTTCCTTTTGAGTTAGTTGAATTGTGTATTCTGGGTTTTGATGTATCATCAATCAGATCAGATCAGATCTTCATTTTAATTTCTTTTCCGAATTTTTAATTATCTTCACTCCTGATTGATAATGGTGGATTATCGATAAAAGAGCTGGAAGAATCAATTTAATTATATCTATGCCACCTTAACGTAATCAATATTATTTAATTGCATTTCAAGGCACCCATCAACTGTTCCTTTGCATCAAGATCGTCAATTATACACAGATCTATATTTCTTTAAAATTGTAAACTAAAAGTATATATTAAATGTTTTTAACAGTAAATGAGTAAAGCAATAGACAACATCCTTGTTACGGTTTGGGGTTGGGTTGATTTTTACGGACACTTCATATTTCCCCAAGTAGAACAATATAGGTATTTTGTGTCAGAACGACTCTAATCTACAACTTACCTGAGGAAAATATTCATCGGCAGCAGAGCTCCCATCCTGGACAACGAGTCCTTCACCTCGAACGAGATATACTGCGGGGGCAACTTGCGCAGCATATCGTTGGCCAGCTGCCAAACGATCGACTCCCTAGTCTCGCCGGCACCGCCACCGCCCTCCTTCGGCTGTACGCTTAGGATGGTGTCCAAAATTCCTTTCGCCGTGTTGATCTGATACGTGATGTCCGCATTCGGATGTAAGCCAAACACCTCCGGAGTGTCCGTCGGTGGCAGCTGGTTGATGTAATCGATATAGGTTTGAATGTTTCTCGAGTTTGGGACCCGGTAGCCCTTATAGAACTCGAAACTAGGCGTCAGCAGATGCTCGGAAAACCAAACCTGGGTGAATGTGGTGAGCAAGCGTTTGTCAAAGTCGTCCGTAACTCTACCGCCGTACATGACCTCGCCAAGCATGTAGCAAAGGGTTTGCCACGAAACGCCCTTCTTCGGGTCCATCTCGTCTAGGTGGTTCTGGATGAATTGTACGCTAGCGGAGAAATCCGCAGCGTTGAATTCGTAGGGTATATTCCATCCCAAGGGTCCAAACTTGCGTCGCTCTTGGACGACGCAGTGCAAGAATGCTACGGTGTACAGCAACGGTGGCCACTGCGATGCGGAAGTGTAATCTAGGTAATCTTGAGTGAAAGTAAGATAGCTACGCTTTAAGCTAGCCCGTATGCCTTGAGGCGGTTCATTGGTGAACTTGATCGCCATTTGAAGCAATCCAATCGGGAAGTGCGGGTGCGTTTCAGTGGTTATCCAAAGGCGGAATGATTCCGCAACATGCTCGGTTTCAATCAGAATGTCAATGATTTCATTGCAGAATGTAAGCGAGAGATGGACATTCTGCAGCAGTAGCCATCCTCCAGTAGCCATGCAATCGGTCATCATTTTCCGCGCGTGGTATTCCTGGCCCTGTCCCATGGACACCGTTTTCAGGAGAATTCCTTTCGATTTTGCAAGAGCCGCTATCTGGACGGTTGGATCGGAACCGATGGATAGAATACAAACCAGAGGGGTCCGTGGTTCCGATTCCGACCATGTTATATCCAAATCCAATATGTGCATCTCTCCATATTCCTTGCCAAGTGACCCTTCGATGTATCGTCTTGCTTGCGATATTGTCCTATCCGGGCTCCACGATCGAATCAGTAGTAATTTCCTAAACACATCCAACTCGTTTTCGTAGTCACATGGGATCACTTCCATTTCGGGCCTTTCGGTTTCATACCACATTCTCCATTCTCTTTCGTTGTATTCGATCTTCTTGAGAATGCCATTGAAGGTTTTCAGCTTGCTAATCTCAACCAAGTTCAACCAGGTAATGTCGAGAATCCATTTGAATGGTTTCGGAACGACGCCGTTCAAATCTAGCGATGCGCCTCCCTTCACGAATGCCATAAATTCATCATGACTGATGTTACCCTTCTGATAGTCGATTTTCACAGCTAACATCAGGGTAAACAGCTGCTTGTGACGCTCGTACAAGCTACGACTTGTAAAAGCCCACACCTCGTAGGTTAGGTACTTCAGGATTATGTTGATCCGTTCTTCGGTGATATTACTCTTGGTAGATTTGGTGATCGAATTGTCAAAGATAATCAAAAATTGCTTCAACGAATTCTGGTACATAACATTGACGTTAGACATTTCAACGATCAGGAAATACAAAATAGATCCCCGTGCTGCCACCGCACGGAATTCCTCTCGAGCAATCATAATCTTCTTTTCTGTTACTTCGGCGATCTTCAACTTCTGGTTGACGTCTTCGGCGGTTGTTTTCGTTTCCTGGAGAACCTCGATCAGTGCTTCGTCATCCACCAGGGACCCCTCGGTGGACGTCAGACGGAGAAGTAGATTAGCTTCCAGCTCTTTCATGCTGCGTTGATTTTTCATCACGCTTTCGAACAGTTGCACTCGTTCCGATTCCAAATCGGCCTTCTCCATCAATATCACACGACCCAGTAGTTGGTCCTCCAAACCACGCATCGTTACAGTGAAATCAATAATCGATGTTTTGGAACTGATTTCCGGGCTGAATGGGGGGTTTGGTAATTTGGTGGTGATATACAACATGAAACCTGGCATCACATCACACTCTTTATCACCGACGAGCACTTTTTCCATGGATCCAGATTTGATGAAGTTCTTCTCCAGCACATTATCAATGACAGGGTCCAGCTCAATTCCAACATCTTCTATCAACAGTGGACGTCCGAGGGACAAGCTATCTTCCAGATGTGTCCTAAAGTACTTGTGATTAAGCGACGTAATTTGCAGCTCGTTCTGGTCTTCCTTGCATTTGATCCAGATTTTACCCTGACTTTGAGGGTCAATTAGCAGCGGATAGCTGCTGGATTTCGTTACAATCAGTGCGTTTTGAATGGATAATTCATCGTTCGGTAGACCCTGAAGGTTCCACTCGGAAATAGTGGCAGAGTCCGTCAACATTCCGATGATACTTAAACCTGTCGTATACGGTATGGTTCTAATCTTCAAGATGTTCATCCATGTTTTGAATAGAGTTCCCCGGAACTCCTGGTTGTATGGGCCACAGTAGGATAAGAATCCCGTTGCCAGTAGTACATCTCCAACGAGTTTTCCAAGCTGAATCTTAAACTCCTTGCTTTGCTGAGTCCAGCGGGTTTTCTCCCCGCCCAGGCCGTTGATCAGTGCTGTGGCCGCAGTCATTTTGCGAAGACAACTGTTGGCAGCATCCGTCAACCGTTGCTTTTCGGAAACTGCTGCATCGTATTGGTCCTTGACTTTCTGTAGAGCAGCTTCACGTTCAGCCAGCTGATTTTCAGCCGCCGCCAAATCGTCCATGGCAATCTTGAGACGAGCTTCCTGTAGCATCAAATTCGATTTCAGCGGCAGTACTTCCTTGTTCACCCCATGGAAGAATGCCATAGCTTTGGTCCAGGATAACAATCCTGCGACGTCGCCACACACCCTTCTGGCTGTGTCCATGTTGTAGTCCTCCATTCGGAAGTACGGCAGCAGGTGCTCGATCATCTCGTCGTTGATCGTATCTTTTGGATAGTTTTGCAACTGTAGCAGGAAGGTAGTACTTGCCATCATTTTCAACGATTCCTGCCACGACGGTTTCGGAGATGGTGCACTCGTATCAGCAATTACCGGGTGCAGTTTGCGTTGGAACATTATCAATACAGAGTCCATGATGCGCATAATCAAATGGGGCGGACGGCCAAGCTTTCGGACTGTAGCGATATGAGCTGGCTTGATGGTGTTCAGAGCTGCTTCTGCTTCCTCCAGTGCAGGTTTGGCCGCTTCCAGTTTTTCCTCGGCGAATCCTTTCTCTGCGGCAATGTTCTGTACCAATGCTTCGGCTTTTTCCTTCACCACCTGCACTTGGTTCTTAAACACTTCGGCCTGCATGGCTCGTTCCGTCACTTCAACCAATACGCGTTCAGCTTTGGCGGAAGCCTCTACCAAATCTTTTTCCATGACTGCGAGCTCCTGCTTCAGAATTTCAACTGACTCGGAAGCTTCGGCCAGCTTTTCCAGACCAGTATCCATCTTCTCCGCTCCGTCGCACAACTCCTTGTGTTTCTGAGTGTAGATGTTTTTATATCCTGCTATGAAGTTCAGGTATGACTTGGGTGTTACGTGAGTCGCTCGTCGGAACCGTTGGTAGTACTCAAGCGATGTCTGCGATACTACGTCCTGTATTGTTCCGAGCGCATTCACCAGTTCGTCCTTCACTTCCGGGCTACATTCGATCGAAAAATCACACAGGAAATGTCGGGCGACGGCTACCAACGCATCTTTCGGCCAAGGTTGGAACCAGTCGACCGTGCAACCTGATACCAACGCCGGGAACCGCATAATTCTGCGTCGGAAAGTCTCGCCGACGGGAGAAAAGCAGAATACCACATGAAGATGGTGACATACACGCTGCAGGAAGTATTCCATTACCGTTTCTTGCGTCACGTTCTTCTTCTGGTTTTCCCGCTTCATGGTCGGTGTCAGTTCAGACACAATCTCGGTTTGTTCGTCTCGATTGAATAGGTTCGAAATTACTCCCGATGAGAGGATATTGTTCAGATATTCGAGGAAGCTTTCCTCCTTGACATCCATGTCGGTGAAGAGGAACGTAGTTCCCTTGCCCTGTACGCCACACGATCGGTACAGGAGCTTCAAATCTTCAAGGAAGTTTGCTACGTTGTAGGAGCGTGTTAAACTGATCTGGAAAGTTTTATATCCAGCGATGAACGATGCGAGCTTAGTAAGCGACTGTTTTCCAGACCCGCCGACGCCTACCAGCATTACGTTTCCCCTCGGGTGACGGATGATTCTCGATATTTTCACCAAGTGTAGCATTGCATCTGGGAAGAATACCAAGTCCATCCCAGTTCCACGAATCATTTCATTGAACTGTAGCAGAAACATTTTCAGACGTTCTCGCAGAATACTAAAATCTAACACTGGCTCGTAAACCTTCGGCAATTCCATATCTGTTTCTTCGCCTTCCTCTCCGGTCGGCTCTGGAGCGTCTCGCATAAAGTCCACAAATACTGGGCTTGGTCCAGCCATCTCTTTGTACTCTGGCCCAATGTCGGTCTCCAGCACTTGAAGCATCTCGTTAACGAACCATTCCGTGTCTGACATCGATACAAAACGATCAGCAAACACCCGGGAACATTCGTTCTTCCACAGCAGTATTAGCACCGATTCACACGTGATGACCGTGGACAAGGTTCCGATCATGCCTTGCCATATCCGTGAAAGATCCCTCAAGCTAAATATATAATGGAACTTGGCCGGTGTTGGCAGCAGGTGTTCTCTCGTGCGTTGCCATACGATGCGAGTAAGGGGGACAAGCCTCTTAACTAGTTTTCGTACTTCCAGTGAAAATCCACGCTTCACGTTGTAATGACCCTCACCGAGTGTTCTGAAGATCGTATCTATCGACGTATTATCCGGAATGTTACAATTGAATACGCTAAACTGTCTTTTTAAGCGAGCAGGTATATCATTTCGACCACCTCCAGGTAGGCCCATTGCCCCAGCAAACTGGACGTCCACAATGTTCGTAAACTCGCCCGGCTTCTCCAGACTGTAGAAACCTCTCATGTCCATGGTTTGTCTTACGATTTCGTTCGTAATCTGATCACCCCACTCGTTGATCTGGGGCATGTTGATATCGTCAATAAATACCAGAAGTTTCCGACCACCCCCCGGGCCGAACATGTTGCCCAGCCTCTTCTCCACGTAGCTTTCGATGGTTTTCTGAAAATGGTACGGACTAGTGGCGGACGAAAAGTTGAACGATCGTCCCATATGGGTTTCCGTGCTTAGTTTCTTCATAAAACTCTTCATCATAACCGTTTTGGCTGTGCCCTGCTCTCCGATCAGCAAGACAGCTTTCTCTTGTTTGACAATAACGTTGATCAGATAGTCAATACGCACATTGTCAACGATCGGGATCAATATGCTCAGATAATCCGGCGTCGAGTGCTCCGGATAGACGTAGGGCATCACCAGAGTTTTCCACAACTGCCAACTGCCCGTTGGCGACACGAAATAATCGTATATCGACGAATCTGGTTTCTCCTCGGCGGTTGGAAAATCCAGATTGCGATACTTTTCCCTGATATGTGCGTCCAACTTGAGGCGGTCCGCTGAGTTGAGGTATGCCCCGATACCCCACGCCAGTGAGAAGATATACAATCGATTCAAATGTTCAGGAGTACAAGCTTCGTCTTTCGGTTTCGGTGCCTCATCGTCGTTCATGTCGTCTAGAAAAAAAAGTCGCAAAATATTAAACAATCTATAAGATCTGTTCGAAATGGAACTAAAAACCAAATGGTAACAGCCATAGCACCGTAAGCTTTAGAAACTCAGTTCTGAATGATAATGTTCAAAGTGGTTCATTTGAGAAGAAATCCTCAATAAGCATTCAAAAAGAAGAACCCCATGTAAACATGAACTGACAGACAAATTTTGAAAGCTTGGTGATATGATTGTCAACTAGATAATTGACTTCCAATGATCGACCAATTTCAAATTTAAAAAAAAGATACCATCAAGGCTTCCTGTAGTGGACAGTGCCACTTCCTGTTCATTTTCGTTAGAAACGGGAACCAATCCGTCTAATATGTAAATCATCTGTTGAATAAAATTGCATTGCAGCACATCCATCATTAGCACCAGATTCTGGGAAACCCAGGTGTAAATCTTCAGGAACGATCCATCAAACAACTCGGTGAATACTTTCTTCTCCAGCGGACTACGGGTTTTCAACCATGCTTGAAGGACTACAAAGTAAAATCAAGATCATGCATGTGCGTTTCAATCTAGATCTAGAATTTACACTTACTTGGCTTCCAGTCCAAACCTGACGAACTCATGTAGACCATACCATTCCGGGATACCGTAGCCGGAGATGCGTTGTCAATATTGTGCGGTTCAAATATGATCTTACACGTCGGTGCCATCGACAGCCGATCCCCGTTGGCCAGCGTAAGTGTTTTGTTATCATCCAACACCGAGTTCAAATTTTCGATCCAAATACTGTCAACCGGTCCATCGAGTACGAGCCACGTGTTTTCACCTTTCTTCACTTTCAACGTCTTCCTCCAGAGAGCCGAGAAGATACCATCGGTCCAATCGTTAGTAGCTACGTCCAATCTGCCAAACATCTGCGAGGCTGTAATTGCTTTTGGATTCATACGCATTTCCTTGTGTATAAGCCCAATGTCGGTTAGAGACTTCATCAGGATTCTTATGCAGCAGGTTTTCCCCGCCCCAGGCGGTCCCAAAGTCATGATACCATGACGAACTTGCTGCGTTTCGTATAGTTGAATCAGTTTTAGTATCCACGGTGGATGGTAAAGAAGTCCAGCTTGTTCAACTCGAATCTGAATAGCTGAATCCAGCTCTCCGTAGCTGGTCTTCTCCAGCGTTTGGTTGGGAAACAGATCCGAAACTAGGGACATGAATAACGGTTCATCTTCGTCAATAAGCTTGGATAGGTTCATGTCCCGAAGCACTCGCATCACTATAGTGCTTTCACTGTCCTTATGATTGACTCGCTTGGCAGCTCCAAGCGTTCTCAGAACCGACAGAATATTCCGCAAGCCAAAATCATAGTGAACCTGTTTGGTCAACTGCTCCTCGCACAGTTTGTACAAGGTATAGAATTTCCGCGCTAGAGTAATATTCTCAAGGAAACCGCACGAGGCAAGCTTCACACGGATGATGATCTGGCGATCCGGTACCATCATGGCAACGGTTCTGAACTGAATTTTTAAATTCTCAGGCAACTCCTTACGGCCAGCATACCCGGGATTCATAGTAATAAATACACCAAACTCCGAATTCATTTCGATATCATCTCCATCGGTGAATATGAATCGCTTCTTCTTCTCCTTCTTAGCAGTCAGGATGACCGCTACCTGTTGAGCTGCAACGGACAATACGGGTAATTCAATTCGGTTGAACTCATCAAAGCAACCCCATGAGCCGGATTGCGCTAGGCCTTTGTAGATTCGTCCTAACCCTCGGTAGTCCATCTGATCTGAACAGTTGAACACGACCACATACTTCGCCAGAGTTTTGCCCATATCCTTCACCGTTTCGGTCTTGCCTGTACCTGCGGGACCACAAGGGCTTCCCCCCATACTCAGTGCCAATGCCTGAGCCAACGTTATATAGCACCTATCGGTTAATGGGGTAATCACAAGCCGGTCGGTGCATCCCAAGTACTCATTCTGGTAGATAAACGTCACGTCCGTTATGTTGATCCAGGTTTTATCGACGTCTTCCTTGAAGTAGAATCGGCACTGTTTCAACCATTCGAAATCATTCGCCGACCGAATGTTCATTCGACACAGGATATCAAATATGTCCCGCTGATGGACGTGGATTGTGATTAGTGTTTCGAACTTTGTACGTTCAATTTTCGTCAAGTCCCGAGTAGTTTGATCAATCAACGTGTTCAACAGCTCCAGGAACTTGTTGTTGGTTTCCGACATAACTTTCTTCTCGTGGCGGGCTTGCATCAGGGCCATCTCTGCATCCCTAGTCCAAATCATCTGTATACCCAGCAGCCCTACCTGTGCCGGGAGTTTCTCAAGGAACGACAGTAAGGTAAAGTTGGGATCGTTCATCAGATGGTACGCTTGGCGAATGATGGAGTGAAGCGATTGTTGCATCGACTGCAGCAATGACGTTAGCCACGTTTCGACTGAACCTTCTGCTCGAATAGCTCGATCCAGCGGAATCATCTCGCCTTCTGAGGAAATAATCGCCATCATTTTGTTGTACTCGATGTCATGGAACTTTACATATCTAGTGTTATCAAAGATCGACAGTAGGTGATTTTGTATCGTGTGCGAGTCGGATGCTTGACCAAGAATCTCCAGCAATGCGGGATCGGATACAAAGAAAAATCTCGGGAACATCATACGTTTCTTCTCCAAGTAGCCACTCAGGGATTTCTGACACAGCTCAAGTTGTTCCTGAAGATGCGGAAGCAGTTGCTTCAGCAAGTCATCACCAACACAGCACGCAACCACACCGGGAGTCTCGTGAGCACGTTGCATAATTTTCTGCCAAGACTTGTCGATCTTGGAGAATCGTTTTGCCTCCTTTGGAAGCTGCTTTGCAATATCACCTCCGACGAATACGGCTTCCAGGTAGACCCACATATTCTGCACCAATAACCATCTTTCGAGTATATCATTCGAATTGGACAAATCGTAGACCCACTGTTGGATCTGTTTACGGAATGGTGCGTTGTATCGATTGGATAGAAGAGAACTCAGCACCATAAGGCTGTCCTCCAGTTGTCCGATGGTTTCGGCAGTTGTGTCACCTCGCAGCAACAGTTCGCCTCTATTGTTAAAGGTCATGAAGCTGAGTTCATGAGCGGACCATTCGTTTGTGACCTGCTTCAGTTTCGCCTCGATATCTTTCTCTTTCATTGCCGAAATACAGATGTCTTCGATGTCCTCCTTATGCTTCAGCAAAGGCGCTTCCAGAATGTGCTTTAGCGTAAAACCTTCGCTGTCAAACTCGAAGGTATACTTTGTCACCTCCATGATTCTCTGCCAATGACGTGGTTTCATCGCTCGATTTGCCATTAGCTCAAGCAATGGACACATGTCATTGAAGTCATCAATTGTTCGTTTGAGGGCGTAAAAGGCGGGCCACTCCTTGAGACCCTTTGGAAGCTTGCGGCAACGATTCTGGAACTCCATCAGTTCGTTGTTGATCTCTTCGATGTCGACATCACTCCAAGGAATATCATAGTAGCTGCTGACCCGATCAATGACATCGTTGTAAAGCTTGTACAACTTCTGTAGCAAGTTCAGCTCCTTCTTGATCTGGCCAAGTTCAGGATAGTCTGATTGAGGCAAACCAAACAATTCCTCGCCACTCTGATAAGTCTGGAGCTTTCTCCACATGCCGTCGAATCGATTCTGAAATGGCAATGAGTGTAAAGATTAGATGTTTTCCAAAAATCAACCACTCCCTTCTAGTTTACTGACTTGGAAGAGCAACAACTTGTCGGATGCTTCGCGCGGCGTCAGCCCCGGTTCCATGGGGCCCGACACCCTGTACTCGGCAACGTAATCGATCTTGTCCTGCTTGAATCTCTCCAAATTGGCGCGCAGGTCGTTTTGGAAATCTGGTTGCATCTCAAGCAGTTTGCAGTGCACCTCTTTGGCACGGGACTGCAAGCGAACCCAAGTGTAGCGCAGATTGTCAACCTGGTCCATTTGCTCTCGATCGACCGCGATCTCGTACTTGTGCATCATGTTGAATGCATCCTCGATCGGTTCAATCTTCAGCTCCATGTCGACTTCCTGCTCGCGAATTTTGCTCAGCGTATCCATCACCGTACGCACGTCGTCCAGGTCACGGATCTGACGATCCAGCTTGCGGTCCATTTCGTTGATCACCGCATACACGTAGTCCATCTCGCGTTTGTATTTCTTCTTCATCGCCTGTCCTAGTTTGTGAGTACAAGCTATAATAGAATAAACATACGATTGACGCTGATGGCCGTTATCTTTATATCACGAAAAGCACCATGCAAAAATGCCCATTTGATACTGCTATCTCAGGTGATCAGAGGTGACTATCGACACATTTTAAGGGTAGCATTGCAGATTAATTTTAGATCAAGAACGAAAATGTGATTTGAAGATTAGAAAAACCCCATTTTTAAAGTATGTTCAGTTTGGAAAGTAGTGAAATATTGAACTGTGGTACTGTTGGATCTTGTTTTTATTAGCTCTTCCATTGTCTTGTGAAAAGAGAAACGTTATGAATAGAACTTTGCACGTGCAAATTCAACCACACGTGTTTATCAGATCAGACAGCTTTTTTTAATAGGTATTTGAATTTGAAATTGAACCATCAACATTTATTTACTAAATCTTGAAAAACATGTGAAATGGGCCTATGTGCTAAATGTAAAAAATACTATAAATGTCAATTGCTCACGAGCCACAGACCACATCCTTCCCGTAATCGAGTACGGTATGCCAATCTGGGAGAGTTGCATCAAACGCTATCACCTTAAACTCCAAAGGATCCAGAAAAATATCCTTAGGATGATCCTAACAGTCCCCCGGAACTAGAAATTCTGAGATCCATCGGCTGGAATTCGGACATTAGAAGAACGGAGAGATTTTATCCTGGAAAGGTTCAGAGACACCTGTCTGCAAACTTAATCTACCATATGCTGCTCTTTGTTTTCCTGGATAAATCTTAATCCGTGAGAGATCAGCGATTGTAGCCATTGTTTACATTTAGAACATAGACCCTTTTCACATGATTCTGTTAAAGATTATCACAAAAAGCATACAGAATTTGAAATGTTTCATCGCATGAACAGATTCTGTAATGTGGTCACCGGGGGATTTTTTTTAAATTGTAAAATGCCGTCAGAGAGGAGTTTTCCCAGCACACATAATTTTTATGTTTGCTTAATTTTGAACAAATTTTGATTCCCAAATGCACTCATCTCTTTATGGTTTTGTATGAAATATTAATTCTGGAATAGCGGCGCTGGTGGTGTTGTGGTAAATGTGATTATCTCTCACCAAGCAGGCCTGGGTTCAATCCCAGTCGGCACCCCCGGGATGTTCTGAGGCATAACATCTTTGATCACGACTTCCATCGGAAGGAAAGTAAGCTGTTGGTCCCCGGTTTATGAGTAGATGGGTCGATAGGTAAGGTTCAGGTGTGGGAGCTGCCACCCTGGCATCGGTAGCATTGGTGCTCAGTACGGGAAACAAGATCGACGGAAAACAAATCAAAAAAAAATCTGGAAAAACTTGCCAACCAGTAAGTTCTGTCTGCCATTACATTTCTTGTAAGAATCATGTATATGATACAGAGAATGACGGAAATCCACTCTTACATTTGATCAGCGGCGTCGAGTGGGGGAAGCGAGGGTGCGGTACGTTAATTTTAGGGGTGACACTCGGCCCTTGGAAATCAACCCATCCAAATCCAAAAGTTCAAAAGAATCGTGAAATTTGGCTTGCGATATTATTGAAATCTGCATTCAACCAGGGTGTATAAAATTTGCTTACAATTATGTGGGATTCATCATCCCAGAATGTTAGTGGAGAACGCACGAACGTGTCATGCCATTTGTGCCAACCTTTAAACCGTATCAACAGTCACCTCTAATCGACAATTACCACACTGATCCACCCTCCAAATAATACCAAATCTCCAGTCAGCTAACGTCGTCGGTTGCTACTTACACTTGATTTCAATTGAGAGTCCAAATTTCAACTTCTCCGTAGATAGGGCAATGCTCTGCCCGAAGTATTGCATATCTCTCTCGACCAGTAGGTTTGTTTCCAAATCTACCAAGCGGCGCAGCGTACCTTCAAACTCGAACAGTGTGCACTCCAACAGCTGTCGGATGGTCTTGTCATTTTTCCACAAGAAGTGGTACGGTTTCCACTTGTCAACAAATTGGTGCAGCTCCGGTTTTATGTTGCGAATACAGCTCGATAGCAGCGACAACGTTTTAACCACCTCCTTATTGTCCATCACGTAGCTGTAGAAGCTTTTGGTCATGTGAATCATCCTGGGTTTCTCCTCCGACTGTAATCGGTACATTTTGCGACGCCGAGACTTGTCGTCCAGAGTGGCAGCGTTGGCTTTCGCCAACTTTGCTGCCGTAGCGGCCGAAGCAAGAGCGGCAGCCGAAGGCCTTGGCTTATCGTCGATATCCTTGCCGGTGTTCCACTGTGCAACACCCTTGGAGACACCGGTTATCTGTTTACCGGCAATCGTCAACGCATCCTGCAGCTCTTCTAGGTTCGGTCTGATGGTCACATTCGGTATCATCAGCAAGGATTGGAGAATGAATATGGGTTTTCTCGGGAGATCCTCGCCTTCCACCTCCATGAACCGTCTCCTCAGACAGTCCAATGAAGTTCGGGTCACACGTATGAGGACATCGATCACCTTGCGACTGTAGTATCGTCGCATCTCCGAGACAGCATTGAATACCATGTCTTGCATTCCCTTCGGAAGGCCACCACCATGGTGCGACAGTAGTTGCAATGGGTTCTCGAAGCAGGACCAAAGAATGCTCCAATCCTGCTGCTGACCGCTTCCGTCATCATTATCTCCCTCCGGAGTCGGAGACGACTTCTCCGATGGTTTCTTGTCTTCGTCAACGAAAAAGTCATTTTCTGCACCGACCATACGTTTGAAAATTTGAGAAGCACGATGCACTAAATCCAAGACTTCTTCGACTGCCTCCTCGACCATCTGGCTTTTTCGGTTTAGCTCAATAGCTGCCTGGCGGCAGGTTTCCTCCGTATACTCCAAAAATTCATCCACCGTCCACATCTCATCGTCATTCGGTAGCGATTGCAGCTGAATATCCTGCATAGACGTCAATACGTGCAGAATACGATTCGAGTAGATATCATGAACGCGTGCCACCAGCACGTCAAACATTTCAATTGCCTCCTTACAGTTGTCGTAGAATTCAATCCACCGGGGACTGGTCCACTAAAATTCTCATTCAATTCAAAGCAAACTTATTAAAACATGTCTATGTAATCGGTTACTTACGTTGATGGATTTGAGCCCCGGTTTCAACATGGCCGTTAAACGTACGAGTTGGGGCAGCAGCAATGGTCTCACTTCCAGCTTTACCTTCTTGATGGTGTTCAGAAACATTTTTATGAGACTCTGAAGAAAATGAAAATATATTGTTGATACATGACCATTATTTTAAATGAAATTCGGTCCAAATCGACATCGAATGCTTGATCAGGATTCTGATCAGGATTGAATGGTGATTTATGAGAAAATATATTCTGCATATTCATCTACGCATATATAAATTTAATAAATGATCCTTAAAAAGATAAACGCTCCTTAAAAACATCCAAATGATCCTTAAAAATCCGGTGAAAATCCTTAGAAACATGTGAATGATCCATGAAAAATTTCACTATGATCGATATTTTGATGTAAAATTTAGCTACCACTGAATTTCTAAAGAATGAGCGTTGAAATTGTACGAATTACCCTTAAAAATATTGGTCCATAGAAGTTCAACAATGAACCATAAACAAATGAAATTGATCCGTAGAAAATCTAATAAATATAGAAATGATCCAATAAAAGGGATTGAACCCACAATATTATGCTCTGTAAATAAAATCGGTCGCTGATAAGCCACCGAGCTTCTTTCATCAGAATCTAACCATTACGACTAACGATCGCTAAAACCTGTAAAGATGAAGCTATTCAAATGGAATCGATTTTTCCCGGGTACCCTATCATATTTTTTCCGGTTTTATATAAACAGCAAAATTTACTAAAGTATGGTTGATTTCAGCAATAGGTGTCGCTAAGAAAAAGTTACGTCATTTATATTTAAGGCAGAAAACCGGAAAACACTTCAATAGAAAAAAATCTGTATGTAACTTTTTCATAAACAACTTAACACTTAACTTTTGAAGAATGTCTAGAGAATTTTTATCAGAATGCCAAATAAGTTGGGGAGAATTTTAGTCCTCCAAAATTCTCACTCTCTACTAGAGAGTCTCTATGAATAACTCTAACGGAATTCAGAGAAATGTGATAATAAATTGCAGACAATTCCTGGAGAATTTTAAAGAAAACTATGGGTGAATTTCAAGGTATTTCAGAAGAGACTTTTTTTAAATTATGAGCAGAAGTCCAGAGAATTCTGAACCAACTCTGAAGGATTTACTGGTACCAAAATCAAAACGTTAATTTCACTGAATTTTCCCATCAAAACACTTCGCTGAATGTATTCCTTGAATCCGATTCCTTAGCCTTTGAGCTTTAATCTGATTAAATGTTTACGGCTGAGCAGTCTTGTTAAGCCTGATTTTTCTTATCATGAAATATACGCTCTACAAAATGCGGATGATTTCGAGTTGCCGATAATAGAACAGTTGGTTATGTAGTATGGTATAGGTTGCCGAAGACAAAGAGGCTGTCGACAATAGTCGCACTAACTTGAGAAGTTTGTAACATTGTTAAAACGTTTTCAAACAGTTTTTGACGATTCTGTCGATTTGCATGAATAGAAAAGCAGATAAAATTCAACAAACAAAAACGATAATGTTAACAAACAAACACGTCAGAAAATACTTAAGAAGCACGAGAATGTGCAAATGCCACTATAAGCAGAATTAAGAGGGTGTTTTCTGCGGATAATTTCAAAGGAATACTGAGGAAGATTGAAAAATAACTTCAAAGGGAATTTCGAGGATTTCTGAGGGATTTTTTAGTGCAAAGAAAATTTTGAACAGAATTTCAAAAGAATCTTATTGTTAAAAATTAACATACTTTTTCATATAAAAACTTTTATGATAATCTTCATAAGAAGCTGCCTCTGGATGCTTCTTTAAGAATCATAAGAAGATTCTTTTAGAATGGATACGCAGGTTTTGCGTTTGATTGTTAATTCATGGGTTATCTGGGAACGCAAACGTATCCATTGGGTGGGAGGCCCTTGACTCTTCAAAAATAAGTCTGCCATATGACTCCGTCTCCAACTTCGACTTTGAAACAGTATATTTATGTATAATGTATGGTTATTTTCTGTGACTTACTCATACAAGAATTAATATGAGTGTATTAAATGATATGTTAGCATGTAATGTTCGATCCAATATATTCATAAATTGCTTATATTTATAAATAAATCACATAATTTACTAATTTATCCATACACCGTTGTTTTGAGGTATAACTTTTACAATTTTATTATTACATTTACATTTTAGAGTTGATATAAACGATCCTAAAATTACCGAATCGTACGACGAAGATAATAGAAGAATTTTTTGATCCTATCCAATACTGGAGTGCTGATACCTTACCTCAAAACATGTTTATCCAAATCGATAGGAACATGTGATAAATTCATACCTCAAGTGCAAGAAGGGTCAACAATCAACAGAAAATCTTCTTTCATGTCACATCCAAATTTATTAACGCACTCCATCAAGTGGGAGTCAAGTGTTATTGGTTTTCTTCAGAGAGAGATGCATCTTTCAAATTGCATATCTTTTAAAACAACGCCATAGAAATCGATAAGGAGCACGAACATAAACACTCGCTATTTTGCCAGGAATCATTTTCCTACTATAGCAGTAAACCTCCTCCTACGCACTCTACGACTGGATTCAGTAACTTTCGTTTAGTTACATTGGGTCAAATATCAGAATCATCGCTTGTTTTACCGAGCTTTGCGTCACTGAGGAGGCCAATTTTGATTGATGTCTTTGGAAAGCAACAGTATATGGTATACCAATGGTGTAAATAGCGGATGTAAACAACTGAATGCGAATCACCATCGTGTGAAGAGCACGAATTCATTATGTTTGTATCGATAACGAATACTTAATTACTATTCCATAGTCATGAAGTACTACGATTTACACTAATCAAAAATACACAGGAATAATACAATAGCTCAATTTGTTGGTCACAGTACTTGTGTCTAGAATATGTGTAAAAGAGTCATGCCAAGAGAAAAACAGTGGAACTCGCATCACGGTTACGAAAGATTCGCTTCCCTTTCATTTGGAAACAGATGACTTCAGCATCAACACAAAATTAGTTTCAGCGAGAAAGAAACTTAACGGCTGCACTAAATTATTATATCAATGACAGCTAAGCCAAACAATTTTCTTAAATTTTTACCAATGCAGTGCTGTAACAGGCATACTTGATGGAGCCTCACTCGCCGAGTTAGAAATGAGTCGAGCGTAGCCTTTTTCTGAGGAGTAGAATGCCTACTGCCAAACCATTCCACTGAGCTTCAGAGCTTGTGAGCGAAGGGGGAAAAATTAGAGTGAGGTTCGCTGCCATTCATGTTTATGTTTTCTATCACACGCTCTTACTCTCACTCTGGGTGAACTCTGAGCTTCTTGCGTCGAAAAAAAAGTCATACGGAGTCTCAAAAAGCGCACCTCACGGCAATCATCCTCTTGCTGAAGTTCACTCTCCCTCTCTCTCGAAGAGTTTTTTGTTTACTTCTTCCATATTCTTGCCTATGAGAAGAATAGCAAACAGTTGCAGTTACCGAAGATTTTAATTTTGTAAATTGTAGTTGTTTAAAAAAAAAAAAAAAAAAAAAATCACGTTGATTTAGGGTGGTAACCTCCAACAAGGTCGGCCAAGTGTTGTAAAGGATCGTGATCGGATTTACCGGGAAATACCGATTGGAGCTTATGACCATTAAGGACAGGTAAGTAGTTGGTCCATCAAAGGTAAGATAAATTAATAAACATATAAAGTAGCCGTTCGATTTTGGCAACACGTCCTCAGTATATTTAAACTGCTGTGCTCTGCAGTTATATTACACTAGTTTACAGAACAACATAAAAAGTGTGAACTTTAGTGGTTGACCAACGTTTCTAATGCAAAATCCTACGCTGAATTCAATGCCGTGGTCAGAAAAAATTAAAGTAGAGCCATTTTTGAGATATACAAAAATTTTGATTTTTTGAATTTTGGACAAAAGTACGATTACTAAAATGTCAATATCATTGGAACTAGTGCACCAATTTTAAATCTTTTTTTATGAAAATGAAGCTAAATAAATTTGAATTCACATCAAGAAAGAAAGCTGTCAAATTGAGTTGGTTGCGTTAGGTTCTCGCCGAGCGGTCTCACAAACACTAGCGTAAATTATTATATTGTTGAAAATATCCCATTTAATTTTGCGTGACAGCTGGTAGTGTTAGTGAAATGCACCGTATGCGTACACGTCCGCAGAAAGGCTTACTGGAAGTGGTGCATGAACCTTGGGAGGGTACCAACGGCCAATCTTGGAACATTCAATTTCCATGATTTTACAAAAATGCTAATAACTTCGACAATTTCCAACCGATTTCATCCATTAAAGGCTCATTTTCTTCGGTTTTGAATGGACTTTAAGAATAAATTATGGAATGATTTTTTGAATCTTTTTATCCCATTACAAATGTTGATTAAAACAAGATTTTTATGGAAAATTCGCAGGAAAAATAAAAAAAATGCTGTAAATTTTTAAATGACTTCAAAGTTAAATTTTTAATTAAGACATAATATTCAAGTGAACGATAGCAAATTTATTTAGCTTCATTCTTATAAAAAAAAGATTTAAAATTGGTGCAAATAGTTCCAAAGATATTGACATTTTAGTAATCGTACTTTTGTCCAAAATTCAAAAAATCAAAATTTTTGTATATCTCAAAAATGGCTCTACTTTTATTTTTTCTGACCACGGCATTGAATTCAGCGTAGGATTTTGCGTTGGAAATGATCATCACCTTACCGA